CAAGATAGGGTCGTCTGTTTTTTCCCACAAATGTCTTCCAATTCAAAGAGAGAGAGGGGTGTAGAGCGGTTATTTCCCTTCTCCAAGATGGGGTCGTCCGTTTTTTTCAAAATGGTGTCCAAATTCAAAGAGAGATCGTGACAATTTTTCAGTTTTTTCCAAGATGGGAAAAGACGAAAAACCTAGGATGGAATAACACGAAGGAAAGAGAGAAAAAACGCCATCTTGTCATTTTCTGATAGGGTACCGGTGTTCGAATACTTTTGTGACCGACTGTACGGGGTTTGTAGATTTGGAGTAAATAACGACGACACTTGATGAAGTATCGAAACACACTTTATTTAGCCAATATTTATCAGGACAGCTGAAATAACACTTTTTACAGTCGTCGAAAATCTACTATAAACACGCTGGAACAATCAGCGACACAGCCTCCACACTGTCAGGCAATAACGGTGGAGATAGCTTCACTGCGAAGCACCAGAGTACAGCTTCCGACTCTGTTCGTTCTCGGAACTCCGAGACTCTTCACGCGATGCACTCGACGACCAACTCGGCGCTAGACTTCGAGACATTCGCTCAATGACTGACTATCAGCTCGCTAGACGAGGCACACTCTCTGAGATACACTAACTGACTTCGGACCAGCAGGGTTTATATAACTTTCGGCCTGTGTTCGAGAACATACTGGGCTAAGCCGGGAAGAATTCGTTCCAGAAGGTTCTCCAATCGTCCATGGTATATTGCTAATTTTGTCGCCAAATGGGCGATTTCTCGTCAAATGTGGCAACCCTGCCCTCCTTGCTATTTTATCTCAATCCTAAAACTGCTTTGCGGGGAAGCTTTATTTTGAAGGATTCAAAAATAACTATGGATTTATAATGAAAAACACTTTAATTGCAGATATTTACAAAAATTTAGAAGCAGTTATTCTTACAAAAACGATAGAGCTTATTTTAAAACATAAAACTTAAACAGAGTTGAGTTGTAGTTGGTATTACTCAAACAACCTCCCACCTTGCAATTTGCAACAAAAGTTATAAATCAAGTTTATTGGGAATTTTAATACGTCGACCAGCTCTAGTAACAAAATCTGGGATTTTGGGTGATGAATCATTATTTTCACTGGAATCTGAAGCATTAGCTGTAGGGCGTAGAGGCATATTCGTAGAGGCACTTCATCCCATCGAGCATCTTGGCCAATGAATGGTAACTTTTCCGAACTGCAGATTTCTAACGGATAAAGTCTTTGGAATGGTCTCAACTTCTCTCCATCAGCTGTTCTCACTCTGGCAACTCTTGAATGCCCATCTGCTCCAGAAAAGACTTCAATGACGATTCCTAAAGGCCAGTTGATACGCTTGCCATCAATTTCTAAAAGAACGACCTCTCCAACTCTTAAAGATTCTTCCCGTATCTTATCTTTATGAATCAACATTGCTAAATACTCATTCCGAAATCTCATTCTTAAATCCTGCCTTAATACAAATGCGCTCATTCCTGCGTACAAAACGCAATCTTATATTTAAGCTTTTACTGTCGATTTCGTCTAAATCTGTTGTTTCACTTCTAGGAATACTTTGTAAGAAACAAGCGGGAGTTAATGGCTTCAGACCTTCAGAATTGTCTTCAATATATGAAAATGGCCTAGAATTTATTGTAGCTTCGCAGTCACATACAACAGTTTCCAACTCTTCATAGTGAAGACCTTTCTTGCCCAAAATTCTTCTTAGCATCTCTTTCAACATTCTAATTATGCGCTCCCACCATCCTCCCCACCAGGCGGCTGTTGGAAGGTTAAAATTCAATTTTATTTTCTTGATAGTCATGATTTTCTCCCAATCTAATTTTTTTAGAGCATTGCTTGAACCAATGAAGTTTGTACCGTTGTCAGTGTAGATTATATTTACTCTACCTCTTCGAGCAAAGAATCTTCTTAAAGCCGTATTAAAAACTTCTGTAATACAGTCGTCCACATAAAAAGATTCTTTGAGTCGACAAGATGTTTTCTTCCTTTCATCCGGAGCGTTCTCTAGATGGTAAGCTATACATGCTTACCATCTAGAGATGGTTGCTTCTAGTAAAAATGGACTAGGAGAAGCACCAAAATACCACTTTACAATGTCAGGAGAGTGATTATTTCTTCTCATCTAGATAACACTTTCCACCACAGAAATTTAAAACATTCCCACCCCTATCCTCTGGATTCAAGCTGATTTGTAAAAATGCTTTTTTGAACGTCTGATGTTACGGCCAATTGCGTTTTTCTGAAACTGCAATATCAATTTGGGTACCAACTATAATAAATCTTAGGCACCTTTTTCTAAACAATTACTTCAAGGAATTCCCTTTGGAAGCTTTAGTCGAACGCATCAAAAACCGGGCGAATTTTTGTTGTTATTACACCAGTTTTTATATCACAGATGATGTGGTAAATAGTGTCCCTTTTTCTTGTCTTTATGTACAATTTCAATAATTCCATCCCGAACACACTCATTGTCCAGATCGTATGAGATTTTTGGTAGTTGACATTAACCGTTTAGTAGTTAATTCTTTATTCGTTTCTAATTCTGGAAGCCCACTTTTCCATGGCAAACATACTTCATATCTTTTGTCATCGTTTCTTTTAATAGTTTTACGGAAAAAATCTACCGTTTCTTCATCGGTTACCTGCCTTTACTTTTGCAGGACATCTTATACCGATGACATCTAGGCTCCATAATTCCGTCAAATCTAAATTATTAGCCTATACAATACTCTTCAAAGATTTTGAGTAGTTTCTTTGTTTACCTTGAAGCATCCATCCAAGTTTTGTTTTAATAGCTACCAAATTATTATCAATGGGCTCGATTTTCCCAGTCAGTAATGCGCCAAGATAATCTGCTCCTATTAATAAACCTATTTCAGGCACATATTCTCCTGTATCACTTAAGCGTATATTTTTCTTTTTAAAATTTGGATAAATATCAAGATCCTCTACACATGGAATCGCACCACATATATCTTCTTTTCGTCCAAAACTGAAATAGTGTGCTTTAAATTTGAACACAAGCTTTGTAATGTAATAGTATAGACATTATTGGACTCTTGTTTAGTTTCACTGTCCCCCAAAAGTCCATGACTCATCGTTTCTTGATCTACAGTTTTCAATCCTAGTTTCTCCGCAATATCCTTTCGTATGAAAGATCTCTGAGCACCAGTATCAAATAATCCGCGAACGATTCCGGACTTGTCATCATTGATGATTTTCACCAATACAGTTAACAATAAAGTTGGAGAATTTTTTTGGTGACAAAAGAACCTGTGCATCCGATTCAGATTGTTTGTCTTGTTTTGATTGATTTATATTTGGATACATAATGCTATGGTGTTTTTTCTTGCGTATAATACACTTTAAATAAGCTTTGCAGATCTTAGAATTGTGTCCTGGTTTCAAACAGACGAAACAAGTTCCCCTTTTCTTCAATGTTTCCCTTCTCGCCTCCAATGACATCTCGGCAGCCTTAAAACATTCTGAGGTATTATGAAACGACTTATTACAAAATAAACAATGTTTGCCATTTTTCTAAGTTCTTTGCTTTTCATTAGATACAATACAAGCTGCAGTGGGAATTTTTTCTTTCGTTTTAAAATTTTCAAATTGATAATTCGCAAACCCTGATCGAGCAAGCTGTAACCGCTCTTCACTTTCGACTTCCAAACGAAGAAATTCTAATAAATTTCCTCCTAACATGTTCATCTTGTCTTTAGTTTCTACACGGTTATGAGTGCGTTCCCACTCTTTGATAAGAACTTCTGGCAGAGCTGATTCTACTAAAGGATATAACATTGCTTCATATTTTTCAGACGTTACCCCTAAAGTCTCTAATGCTCGCAACTAAGTCTCCAATTTATCATAAAGAACCCGCAAAGTAAAATTTTCGCTTCTTTTCGCTTGCGTTAAAACTAGATTTAAAAATTCACGAACGTAAATTTGAATTAGTAGTTCATCTTTAGCAAAACGAGATTTCAGTTGTTCAATAGCATTATAATGGTTTTCGCCAAATGGTGGAAAACTTGCAACTAAATCTCTGGCCGATAAACCTTCTTCAGTTGCTTGTAAAAGATACTGAAATTTGTCATCTGCATCAATGCTATCATCATTCTGAATCGTTTTAAATTGTCCCCAGTATCCTAGTCAGTTTTTAACCCGTTTTATCCCACTGTCCTATTTAAAGGACAGCTGAAAAATAGCATGTAGAAATCAGTATTTGCTTGGTACGAATATTTTGCTAGCTGGAATATGTAGGGATATGTGTTAGCATCTGCTAGCGTGAGTTATGTGTCTCTCCCCCTCCTCCTTCCTCTGGACATTTTTGATTATTCATCGCATTAGTGGGCGTGGTTTGTATCATCTCTTTGTGGTTGCAGAATTCTTTTTCAGTTTACTTTGGACAATCGGCTCGGCATTTTGTATGTGAAAGTACTCTTTCCTTATCATCCTGGTGGTTAATGAAAGCTTTATTGTTATTAGGTGAGTTTTAGCGTATTGTTTTTTAACTGTCCTCTAAATAGGACAATAAGACGATAAGTATGACGCGTTCTTTCTCTCTTTATAAATAAGAGTAAAAAAAATCTACCGTTTCACCCCTGCTGAGTTATGTCCGTGCAAAGGTTTCTGAAGTTAGAGGAATCATTAGAACTATTCAATAGTTTAGATTCAGATGAGAGCGAAGTTGAAATTGCTGTGTTACCATGAGATGCCAGTGAACTAACTGACGAAGATGAAGGGGATGAGAATGAAGTAAATACTGGTGAAATTATTATAATAGGTGTTCCTGGGTCTCTAGAGGTTATAACTGGAGATAGTTTCCAGCCTGAACCGTTCACAAGCTCTAGTGTTTCCACAACAAAGAGTAGAAAAAAAGCTAAAAGACACAATCTTGGATAAAGAATAAATCACCACATATACAAAATGTAAAACACAGGATGAATCAATTGCAAGTGACTTGCTCAAGCAGATGGAAACTGCATTGAAAGACAAAACTCCATCAGAGCTTTTTGAGCAGTTTTATTCCAGTGAAGTCTACGATCTCACTGTAAAAGAAACTGAGCGATATGCAACAGATGTAAAAAACGAACAAGGTTTCTTGTTCGTTTTTTACATCTGCCAACGAAATACGTGTTTTTATCTTACGAAATACGTGTTTTTATCTTACGTGTTTTTATCTTTTACTGCCAACGAAATACGTGTTTTTATCGGAATTTTGCTTATAACTGGTTATCATTCAAATACCTGCGAACGTGACTACTGGTCAGATGCTGAAGACCTTCGCATTACCCTTGTGAAAAATGCCATGACACGAAACCGCTTCCAAAAGTTGAAATCTTATTTATACTTTGTGGACAATGGAACTGTCAGTCAGCATGCCCAGGATCGATCCTTCAAAGTAAAACCTTTGTTTGCCGTACTCAATAATAATTTTATGAAATTTGGACACTTCTCTGCAAATCTAAGAATCGATGAAATGATCATCATGTATTACGGTAGGAATAGTCTGAAACGGTTTATCCGAGGCAAGCCTATACGTTTTGGATATAAACTTTGGGCTCTCTGTGGGAGCGAGGGTAATTGTTACAATTTTTCTCTCTATTGCGGTAAAGAATTTGATGCGAGAAATGATACTTCTCTTGGTACTCGGTTTGTGATGAAACTAACACAGAATATTGTGAATCCTTCAAGCTACACGTTATATTTTGATAACTTTTTTACGAGCATTTATCTTTTGAAAAGTCTTGGTGAACAGGGTTTTCGAGCTGCAGTAACAATACGAGAAAATCGGATATATCACGAGTTTCCTTTAGAAGAATCTAAGTCTATGCGGAAGAAAGAAAGAGGAACGTCTGATTTTGCATTTGACTAGAAATCTGAGATTTTCCTGGTGCGATGAAATGATAATAGTACTGTCACTATTGCTAAAATTTCAGCACTTTTTTTTATTCTTTGATCTGAAGAGGCGAGTGAGAGGACACAAAGATAAAGTTAACGTGAAGATGCCAAAATTGATTAATTCTAAAACAAACATATGGGCGGTGTGGATCACCACGACTGGTTGTCTGGACTTTATTCCATTAAACTTCGTGGAAAATAGTGGTACTGGCCACTTTTTATACGTTCGCTGGATATGGCTATGGTAAACGCCTGGATAATTCACAAAACTTTGAACAAAAATGAAGCTCTAAACTTGAAGGAATTCCGAATAGCTGTAACAACAGTTTATCTAAAAGAAACTGTGATAAGAACAAAAGGTAGATCTAGGATCTGGACTGTACCTTCTGATGCAAAAGAAGACATCCGTAAAGATAGTGTTAGTCATTTTTTACTAAAGCTAGAAAAACAGAGTCGTTGTCAAAGAGATTGCTGCAAAGGAAAACCAAAAACATACTGTGCCAAATGTGACAAAACATTTTGTCAGGCTTGCTTTGGACTTTTCCACCAAGATTAGAGTGAAATTCATCTGAAAATGAACTATCTTGTAAATAAGAAAGTATTAGTCGAATAAAGTAATATTTGTACACGGAAATCACTTTTCATCATTGAAGAGAACACTAAAAACATGTAAGTGAAAATTTTATCCCCTTTATCCCAGTGTCCTATTTAGAGGACGGGCAGATTTCTTATAAAATATTAAAAAAAAAATTCTAATTTTGTTATATTTAGTTTGTTTAAGTTCAATTAACCTTAAAAAATATCATTCCTTTTCAAATTTGAAGAAAATAAATAAATTGGGATAAAATGGGTTAATATTACCATCAAAACATTTCAGTTCTAACTTAGGAAGACGGTGAAAATTTCGCTTGGTTTCATTTACTACACTGGAAAATATCGCCCTCTTCTTTCAGTGGTTGATAACATTAAACATCAACTTTCGTTTTCCATAGCAACTCCACTGATTTCGATAGCTTTTCCGTTTAAATCCATATCATTAGAAAATTCATCTTCATTAAAATTTTCCATTTCTAGCCATTTTACTTTAACTTTTTCATCTAACTGAAATAATCTGTCAGCTTAATCATTAAATATATTAAATACAGATATCAAATCAATCTTACTTACTGCTTCATCTTTTAGAACAGTGTCCACTTCTTTCAAAAAGTTGTTAAATATCGCCGTAATTGTGTTCTTTCCCGTTTTAAATTATTCACAGTCCTGTTCCACGGACGTCAGTATTTTAAAGGATTCGAAAATATCTATGGATTTAATATGAAAAAACACTTTAATTGCAGATATTTCCAAAAAATTTTAAAAGCAAAAATTTTATTCTTACAAAAACGATAGAGCTTATTTTTAAAACATAAAATTTAAACAGAGTTGAGTTGTAGCTGGTATTATTCAAACAAACTCCCACCTTGCAATTTGTAGGATACCTATAAATTGCAACAAAAGTTGTAAATCAAGTCCTATTGGGAATTTTAACGTGTCGACCAGTTCTAGTAACAAAATCTGGGATTTTGGGTGATGAATCATCATCTTCACTGGAATCTGAAGCATTAGCTGCAGGGCGTAGAGGCATATTCGTAGAGGCACTTTCACCTAAAAATTTAAATTTCTAGTTCTCTTTAATGCATTAAAGTTAAGTTCTGAGAAATCTTCAAATATTTAAATAATCGTAAAAAATCAGCAGGTACTGATTCTAAACTAACCCCCTGCCCCTCATTACTATTCGGCCGCCCTTCTAAATTCGTATGGACTGAAAAGCGCCTTTAGCCCCTCCCCCCAGCACACAAATTCGCACATTACCCAATCAGCTTTCTCCCAATCTCCCTCTTAGGATGAAGAATTACCACCTAGCTCCCGCCTCCTGACTTTCTATTCAGCCACTGCGCTCTACCATTGATCCCTGCATGTCTTCTCGTCGAGTAGTAAACTTAAGTAAAAAATGCACAATAGTTAAAAAGTAAAAATGATAAAAGGTAAATTTTGGAACCAATATTTGAAAAAAAAAATTTGAAAGTAAATCAGATTTTATAATATGCTCAAAGTTGTGGGTTTTTTTATTTATATGCACATACAAGTCTCGAGAGTATTTCAGCTAATGTCTTTTGGGCAAACAATATTTAAAAATAGTACATCTTTTGAATTTCCGACAGGCAGTCTTCCATGCTGAAGATATTTTTTGTGCTGTTTTGCCGCTGCTCGCTTAAAAATCGTTGACTTTTTAATCAAAAATTCATCACAAAATAGAAAATAAACCAAATTCCAAAAATCCGACTTCCAGGTGCACATATTTGGGTAGAGGACTACATTATTAAGAATTTTATTGCTCCAGGTACCGTTGTTTTTTCACATTGCAAGAAAACATACACATATACATGGAAATTCTTCATTATTTAATTTCTTTAAATAGGGAGATAATATTTTGGTGGCAACAATTTGAACAATGAAACAGGTTTTTTTAGTGACTCGACTGGCTAACGCAGCTTAGGGCTAGAGTCAGGAAAGGAAACTTTTAAGCTTCGCATTTGTATCTGCTGAAACCTATGGAAATGAGATGATTATCAGGGAGAATCTATTCCTTTCTTGACAGCTCGCATCTACTAATGTTTGCCATAGCAACTCATCTAACTTAATCGAAATCACTGAAGTAAAATTCTAGGAGGGAACAGAAATATCAAAAGGAGTAGCTGCATTTTTCAGAGGTTTAGGATCATTTTAGGGACAGCTTTAAAGGTAGTTGTAGAAAAAAACTCGATAAGCTATGGGTTAAATTATCTCAAAAATATCCTCTCTACCAATAGAGGGATACCTGAGGCAGTTAATACAAATTATTTCAGCGCATATGTAAATGCATACGGACCTCACTAGTGTAAACCAAGGAGGTTAGAATAAATGGAGTAAATCTCCTTCGTATGCTCCGGGCAATGAAAATGAAGCCATGAAACGTTACGGCATGTCTTCAGGACTTATTATAGTCGCTGCTATAGGTGAGTTTCTGGTTGGTTTTGTTTATGCCCTAAATCGGTCCTGTCCACATTTTAGCTTTCATCATTGAATGTTTGTAAGTCTCTCGTTCTAATTTTAATACTTAACATAAATGTTTTCTGCTTAATACATAGAAAATCACAAGGACTTAATACATAGAAAATCACAATAACTTTTTCAAAAATATCACAAGGATTCCAAATAACTGCTTCAAAAAAATCACAAGAATTGTAAATAACTGTTTCAAATTCAATAAAATTTAGGTGCATGAAAATCTGTAAATAATAAATCTACGACCTAGAAGACAATTGGAAATTTCAACTGTATTTTACGCAAATTAGGCCTATTGATACATTTCAGAGCCTCCGGACGTTTAAATTTGCTCTGAAGGTCTGTGTGTTCGAGATTTGCAAAAACTAACCGTTCTCCTTTCTCCTAATAAACTTAAAATAAAATAACTTTACATATAAAATTCTACAGCGTCATATTTATTTTCAAAATCTATAGAACTACAAGAAACTACAACAAAGATCAAGATGGTTGCCACTCTTACAGTGAAAAACTATGAAAAGAAAAATAAAACAACTGAGGCTGGGGTTCTAACAATACTCCCACCTTTTGATTGATGACATATACTTAATCAATCAAAACAAAATATAATAAAAAAAATACTGTCCATACAAATATTAAGGCTAAATAGTAGTAAACAAAAGAAAAAAAATTAAGTTTTTAAATTTCTACTCTAAAATAACTCAAGTAGTGTTTAGGTTAGAAATCTAGATGGAATTTTAATTTGTCATCCACTTCTAGTCACGGCAGTCTTAATGTCCTTTGATAAATCTGCAGCTGAATTGTTCTTTGGTAATTTTGAGACTAAACTGTCTTCACCCTGCGTCTCAATTTCATTTGCCTCATCTGACTCCAAAGATGAAGGTATTTCGAGAGGGAATATTCTCTGGATTGGTCGAACTAATTCTCCAGACATGGTTTTGACACGAACTATTCGAATGTTGCCGTCTTTTCCGGGATATAGTTCAATTACTTTTGCTAGAGGCCACAACACCTTGCGTTTGTCATCACATTCGATAAGAACTATATCACCGATTTTTATCTGTTGAGAAATCGGCACTGTAGATGGACGTTGCACTAGTAGGCCGAGATATTCATTTCTAAATCTCTTTCTCAAGAGCTCTCGTAAACTCTGTAAATGTCTCAGTCTCTTGTTGAAATCAACTTTATCAAGATGATCCAAGTCAGGAACTCCAAAGACTGGAATTTCACCTAAAAACAAGGACGGTGTCAAAGAGATGAGATCATCAGAGTCCTCTGACACATAAGTGAGTGGTCTGGCATTCACAGTTGCTTCGCAGTTGCACAGCACACTCATCAATTCTTCATAATTCAGACATGACTGGCCTAGGACTCAAAGCAAAAGCTTCTTAATCATTTGAACAAGTCGTTCCCAAAAGCCAACCCACCATGGTGCTGCGGGTGGACTGAACTTCCAGTCGATCTTGTTTGTGGCGGCTTCTATCTCAATGGTATTCCAATTAATCGATCTCAAGTGTTTATTGGATCCGACAAAATTGCTTCCCTTATCACTATAAATTATCGATGGCCTCCCTCTACGGGCAATAAATCTTCTAAGACCAAGTAACAATCCTTGAGTTGAAAGGGACAAAATCAGTTCCAAATGGACCGCCTTGAAAACAGCACATGTGAAAAGTAAAATCCAAGCTTTTCTTTTATCCTTCATAATTAACTCTTTCGCATCGAGAGACGACTAAATCTGTTTTCAACGAACATCGAAAACGCCCGTGTTTACGAATTTGTCTTGGAATAGTTTTCCTTTCCCCCTTCTGCGGTTTCATCCATTCATCCATTGTGTGCAGTTTCACCTTAGGGCCGGATTGCACCTGCGAACGTCAATAGCTTTCCGTC